TGTGAACACTGCATTGGCAGTAAGCTGATAAAACACTAAGACATATCACCATGCAACTGTGCATCAAAGTTTTGTACCTGCACGCTCCTGATAAGTGGATTCAACTGGGGAGGTTAAAGACACTCACATTTGTCAAATGCACACAGAAAAACTGGGTGGCTCTGACCTTAGATGATAGTGTTAACAAGACTCTGCTAACCCTATCTATGGCTATATACTGCGTGAATAGCCCAACCACATTAAACCTGAGAAATGTAGTAAGGGTTGACGAGGGATTAAAACAATGTGACTTTATACTTAAAGAGACCACGGCATACCATTCACTTCAACCACAATCTTCCTATACAATTATGGGGGATATTCACTAAGCTGCTGAAGGCAGCCGAGTGAATAACCGAGCCAAAGTGAGGGAGCCAAACCCTGTTCGGCTATTCTTTTCAGCCATGTACAGCTGACTTTGGCTCCCTTCGGTTCAGCCAAACAGCCTCAGTGCGTTCGGATGAACTGAAGAACATGTTCACCTCAGCCGATCCAACATATGGATCGGCTGAGACGAGCGATCGGCAGTTCACTTTCGGCTCGGCTCGGTCATTCTGTTCGCTACCTCAGAGGTACCAGACAAAATTTTAAAAATGACATGTAAACAGAAAAAAACCCAGCACGGGGTACCCCTCCCAAACCCTTTAGGCCTGGTAGGATAGTTAGGAGGGTTAAAAATATAAACAAATGGGTTGGGTTCCGCCCAAAAGTCATACCAGACCCTTTAGGTCTAGTAGGAATTTTAAGGGGGAACACTACCACCCAAAAGTGGAAAAAAAGGAGGCTCCCCCCTAAAATTCCCAGCCAGACCCTTAATCCAGGCACTGGCCAGGAAGAGCAGAAAAGGGGGTGATGAAGCGAGTGCCCCCTCTTCCCTGCACCATATCAGGCCACATGCCCCTGAAAAAGCACCTTGGCAAGGGGTATCACATCACGGCTGGCTCCACCCAGTTGTTTTGATACCTTGACAGCCCACTGTTTAGTCATTTGAGGTGAGAAGCAGATATGTTGGGCCAGCACACACAGTAAATTGACACACCCTATGACTTGCAAGGAGTGGGGTGGGGTTGGAAGAGGCCCTGTGTCAGGTATTTGACTCTCCTTGAGTCGTCAAACTTTTTAGCAAGTTCATGAGCACATTGTAAGTGAATTACAAAATTATGGAAAGGTAAATACTGCAAATAAATATTTTAAATACTTGATTTTTTTTTCTGTGCTTTTATACGAAAGTTTGTTGACGGGATCTCTTTAAAATGCACATTTAGAGTAATAGATAGAGATAATAAATGTATTTAGCCTCGTTAGAGCTAACATGACCCCATGGGGTTGATTTACTAACCTTATAAACACACCACGAACGTGTATACACCTCTGCAGTGTGTTCCCTCCCAGCATGATCTATGGGTGGAATCTAAACACCTTTGTAATGTGTACACACCCAGCAGGTGTGTTGTGCAAAGCCCTGCATGAATTACAAGGTGATGTTGGGTAAATTAGCTCTATGTTGTGTTGCTTGCGTTGATGAATGCAAGGAATGTAAATGCATGAGCTAACCATTTTTGTCTAAACTGTGAAGCAGCATTATATATGCATCATGTGCATGATTTTTCCATATATGGCATTAGTGGAAATATGCTTTTAGAGACTTTTTGGTTGATAAATACGTTTTGCTGGTGCGTGTGTGTGTTTAGGTTAGTAAATCACCCCTCATGACTCACCTTTTGACCCACCTTCTTTTCTCTGGCTTGGTTGATGGTACATTGCTATACATACACTGTAAAACATTTTCTTCAATAGAACAGGAGATAATTGGTGCTTGATGGCATATAAAAATAACGAGAGCAAGCTTTGAATTAACAGCCATCTTTATTGTATCCTCCGTTACAATCACTGCCCATGTGCTTAAGTGTTTTATGCTATACAAACCTTTATTTACCTAAGTAAAGATGGCCTTTATATTGAGGGCCCATTCACATTTCTCTGAGCCATTGATACGAATTGACGTGTGTTAATGTGCAGTAAGTTAAGTAAACCCATTCATGATGAATGACCTGCCAATGTACGGTAACAGCCAACAAATTGCAACCATAGCATATGTGTTGGGTTGTTTTGCAGTGTGGATGCATTGCCTGCTATGGTAACAGTGTGTTCAGTGCCACTCAAAATAAATGGTACTGTAAAGTAGTGGGCACATTAACGTGAAACTAAACTCCGGAGTTAAACCCAAAAATGCATTTGAGTATGCTAACTATTAATAAAAGTGTGCCTTATTTGTGTATCACTCGGCGGTAGATCCTCAAATCATCTCTGAATTGGTGCTGACACTGTCCTTCCTTCTGGAGGGTGGATATTTTTGTTCCCCATGGTCCCTGTGTGTGTTGCAAAGTAGCCACTGCTTCAAGCTTGCTCCCATGATGGACTACAATCTCACATTTAGTTTGATAATTTCTGTTGAGATTGTATTCCATCACGGGAGAGAGCTTGAAGCGGTGGCTACCCTACAACACATGCAGGGACCATGGGGTATAAAAGTAGCCACCCTCCAGAAGGAAGGATAGTGTCAGCACCAATTCAAAGATGTGTTGAGGATCAACAGCTGAGTGATACACAAATAACATACATTTTTGTTCATAGTTAAGTTACTTGAATGCATTTTTAAGGTTTAACTCCTGAGTTTACTGTCACTTTAAGATGCATTGCGGTAATGTGTGGTAAAACATGTGTTACCATGCTTTAATGTAATGCATTAATGTGCATCTAGTCTGAAGTTGGAGTACTAGTACATTTAGTGCTTTTATAAATGACTATGGACTTGAGAAAGGTCCAGCTGCTGTATACTTTGCTGTAGGCAGATATAACGAATGAGCTGTGGGTGAGCTATCTCTTGCTACATTGTGGCACAGAGATGCCCAAAATGTTGTTACATCATCTTAGAAGTGACCACCTATTTGACCAATTTGTAATTGCAAGGGATCTGAATGTTTCTTATTTTTATGATGTTTATGGACATACCTAGATGTCCTTCCAAGGTGCAATTTTGTAAAAATTAGAAATTGAAATGTTGTTTCACATAGCTGGCAGGATTCAGTAAAGCGATCTCTCCATTAGGGCATTTAAAAAAAAGATCTAAACCATAACTGGATCACATTCAGTTTGAAAAAGCATTGCGTAAATATCATATATTGTCATTTATTTCATAAAATACTTTTTTTCACCTTTTTGTCAGCCTTTTGCATTTAATTTCTGCTGAACTCCTCCAACTTTTTTAGCCACTTCCTGGCTCCATGCACTCACTCCAGTGTTGGCTAGATCGATTTCCTGATAGGGATAAAGTTGGACCATGCCTGCCCAATGTATGTCACCATGGCCACTCATAGTCTCCAACAGGGGTGCACGTGACAGGGTGTCAGTTGTCACCCTATAACAGGAAGTGCCTGAACAAGGATCTTCAAAACAGGTTCACCAGGTATTCTTTTAGGGAAAGCTGCAGATTTAAAAGGATGAAAGACAACCTTTAAAATGATACTAACATGTTAAAGAAGAACTCCTGATAGAAGAAATGTTAACCCTTACAGTGCTTGTTTTACAGATAACAAAGATATACTCACCTGTCCCTCAGACACGGCTGGCTGCTGAACTGATCCCTGCAGCTTCTCTCCCCCTTCACTCCAGTGGTGTAAATACAACGCATGGGACTTGAGGACACTGAGGGACATTCAAACACCGGAGCAGAGAGAGGCTGCACGCACCTGTCACAGTCGGGTGAGTATATCTTTGTTATTTGTGACCCTAGATAAAAACGAGTACTTACCCTTGTAGTGTGGGGGTAGCCCCACTGTAAAGGTTAAGATTGCTTCCGCCCAGAGTTCTTCTTTATAGTTTAAATAAGACTTTACTCATTGGGTACAGATCTGCTTAAGCTGGTCATACACTGCTCGAAAATTAAGCCATGGATGGACCTGCCAGCTCCTCCTTGCCTGAATAAAGTACATTTGTCAAATTAACCTTTGTGAGAGTAACTTATCCAAAAATTCTTGGCTGGACAGTGCCTACATCCAATCAGATGCAGGCGTAGCATATAATAACTGGCAGCAGGGATTTCTTCATCCATGCTGTTGAACATGGATGGGGGAAACAATGGATATCTCATATTCAGCCTGCGGGGCTAAATGAGAGAATTGCTAAGCTTGTATGACTTCATTTAGTCTTAAAGTGACCGTACCTGTCACTATTTATAAGCATTATTATTTTGCATTAATTGAAACAATGGCTTGCATGCCATATTACAATCTGCATGCCTGCTGCATGCCTGCACTCTTATGCTGTGCATATTCCAATGAGCTCCAGCGCAGCTGCATGCACGTCCCCCATTTGCATAGCAGCTAATGTGACAGCCTTAACAATGTCAATAAAACAATGTAAGTGACTCCACCGTTTGCGTCATCTGACACAATTGGGTCACATAAAATAAAACTTTCAAAGGAGGAGCTTTCACTTGGCACAGTATAAGGCAGTACAATGTCAACATATGCAAGCAGGTATAAAGTTGCCACCATGCCTTTCTCTAACTGCATGAAATGTGAGCAGGTATCATAAAAGCGCTAATAAAGTATTGTCGCAGCAGAAGGAGGAGGTAGATAGGTGAATGTACAGTTAAAAAAAAAACATCCTTCAGCATTGCTGTTACCAGGGTAACATTACTGGATATAAAAAATAATTTCCTGTAAAAAAAAATAAAAAAGAGGAATTTGTGAAGTGCAAGCTCCGCATCTCATGGTGACCATTTAGCCTCTCCGGCATGCCAGCAGCGCTCTTTTGTAATGCAAGCGCTTGTTACATGCAATCTCTTCATTTCTTCTCCATGGAAGATTTGCAATGATGAGAGATTGTCTCATTGAGAAGAGAAAGTTAATAACAGCTCCTGCGAGCTGCTGTCTCTGAGAGCTCTCTCTCTCTCTATTTCTCTCTCTCTTTCCATGTCTCTCCCCCTCCCCCCTCTCTCTCCTCCAGTTCTGCTGCTCCGGCTCTGAGCGTCACTCTGCATCCGACCACAGACATGGCGACAGTGGTCCAGCCCCTCACATTGGACAGAGGTAGGACTAGATCAGTACCTGCTGCTGTTGTTGATACTGATGCTGCTGTGTGCCTGTGTTTGACATTGCTGTGCATGATGGCAAGCTTCACTGGGAATGCTCTCCTTGTTATACAATGGATTAAGGCAGAGTGTAGTGTGAAACAATCTGCTTCCACAGCTCCTGAACATCTGAGTGTGTGTGTATTGCTGGAACAGTCACAGGGAACCTATGCTGGCCGGGAAAAAGGGAATACATGACATTGGGGAAGCTTTCTTACAAGCAGACAAAGCCAAGCAGTGAAATGATTACCTGGGAGCACGTTGCTGTCACATCTATCTCTTGTAGGCTTCATTCTCTTGTCTTATAACCTGGTCATTGAGTAGAATTATATGAGAGAGTATAGATGGATACTGCTCTACATGTGTCTTCTATGTCCATTGCGAAGTTTTCTGGATGTGTCACACTGGTGGACATTATGACAGAGTTGGCTAGGCATCCATGGTGCTGAAAGGGGGCAGCAGAAGGAGAAGGCTCAGCACCTGCTCACGATAATGTGCTACCAGGAGCAAGGACAGGCACATAAAACCAGTCTGAATCGGAAGGGGAGGGAGGGCAGCTCTGTTTATCAGATGTTGCAACTGGAGCTGGAAACAATTAAAATTTGTGTAAGCAAGTTAGGAACGGAAAGCTCAAAGTCACAGTGAAGTGTACAAGCTCCCCCTGGAGCTCACTGACTTGAGATGTCATTTGAGGCATCCAACCGGGGAATGGTCATTGTTTAAAATGATCTTGAAATAAACAGGGATGCTTGTTTTGACTGAACCTGCATGCTCATGACACCTTTGACCCTGGTCTTGGAAAAGAAAAGTGACCAGCTGGGAAAATTAAAGTTGGGTTATCAGTTTTTCGGTCATCCTGGGGTTGTGTGCACAAAACACACAGTTTCCATAGGCATTGAATCGTTTTCTGATTCTATTGGAATCAGATGGATTGGGTGATGATTATCTCTGGGTTTAGTAAATGTGTGGGGCTGGTATATAAATGTACTATATTTCCGCTTTACATTGTATAGGTAACAATGAAGTAATCCAAGTGAAATTCTTTTTTTTTTAAATCCGTATTATTAAAAAAGAACGCTGGGCATTAAAAAAAATTAACTCTTGCAGTGAGGCTACCCCTGCCCTGCAGAGGTTAAGTGCCCATTTTGGTCTAGGGGGCTAAAATAAAAAAGATAAACTCACCTGATCCTAAGTTCACTCCTGACTTGTCCATTTGACTTGCATTGGAAGTGAGGACCCTGAGGAACATTGCGCAGCCGGAGTAGAGGAGGAAAGAGGTGATCACTCACTGCCACAGGACTGAGGATCAGGTGAGAGTATATTCTTTATTCCGGCCCCTAAAGTTGTACTTAACCCTTGCAGTACCTTAAAAATACCCGGAGTTGTTCTTTTGTTCAGATTATATTTCCACTTGTGCAGCCAAAAATTGAAGTACACAAGATAACACCTATGTTATGTTTCTTATATTTTCCCATTCACATACATAACTTTAAAAAAAGTGCTTCTTACCTTTTTACTTGTGAAAATTTCTTAGTTAATTCCCTTCCCCTTTATATGTAATGTTAAGCTGGCGACTGGGCAGTTATGGTTACTATACTTAACCCTGTATGTATTGTGCTGGCAGATCATCATCACAATTCAATATCAGTTGTAAAATATGTGTGCACAGTGTCTGTCCTACCAAAGGATAAGAACTCTGGGGGAAATGATTCCTAACCCTGCAGTGGGGCTACCTCCGCACTGCAAGGGTTAAGTGATTGTTTTCGCCTAGGGACTAAAATAAAAACGGTGATAGTCACCCAATCCTCACAGTTGGCTGGCTCTTAAATATGTCCTTCCAGCTTCTCTCTCCCTCCGCTCCAGCAGTCTAAGGATCCTTGAGTCATCAGATCCGATATACAGTGTATAGGACATGAGGACGCAGAGGACATACCATCTCTGCAGCAGAGAAAGAGACAGGCTGTAGGGAATTGGGTAAGTATAACTTTGAGCACTGCGTAGTAGCTCCACTGCAAGGGTTAAGAATCATTTTTCCAAAAGTTCATCTTTAAAGTTCTCAAGGTTCGGGGGGTACATTGCAAGGTAATGTACTAAAAAAAAAAAAACAAAAAAAAAAAAAACTGTCCTTGAGTTTGTCCTGTCCCCTAATTGCACATTGCCATTGTCTATTCTAATCAATAAAATCTGTCTATTGAGTGTATAAACTTGCTCCAAAGAAACAACTAGAAAGTTAACTAGAAAGTTAAGAAATACATTTTTTTATTATTTTTAGGTTTGCTGTGTGAATAAGAACATATAAACATATTAAGGGGGTTTCTCAAAGCTTACTGCAAAAGTTTAAATACACTATAAGCACATCTGATGAACCTTTACTTTATTCATTCAATACTGTAAGAAAATGTAAAAATAATCAGTCAAACAAAAATGTTGGATATACAGCAGTCCACTGATTAGACAACACAGGGAACATACACTATATTGCCAAAAGTATTGGGACACCTGCCTTTACACGCACATGAACTTTAAGGTCTTGTTCACACCTAGGCGTATTGCATATGCGCGTCTGTCGTGCGACCGTTGCGCGTTTTTTTTACCGTGATTCGCTGTATAAAAGTCGCGCGACCGTCGTGCGTTTCCGAAGGCTACTTGGCTGTATCCCAATGGAAACGCGCAACAAAAACGGCCCAAAGTAGTACATGCACCTTTTCAGGCGTGGGCTGTTTTGTAGCGCGTTAGGGACGGGCGGAAATACGCCAAGGTGGGAACGAGACCATTGAATACAATGGGATTTATATTTTTGAGCGTTTTGTAGAGCGTTCGTCGAGCGTAGAACGCGCTACAAAACGTTCAGGTGTGAACGAGGGCTAATGGCATCCCAGTCTTAGACTGTAGTGTTCAATATTGAGTTGGCCCACCCTTTGCCACTATAACAGCTTCAGCTCTTCTGGGAAGGCCGTCCACAAGGTTTAGGAGTGTGTCTATGGGAATGTTTGACCATTCTTCCAGAAGCGAATTTGAGAGGTCAAGTACTGATGTTGGACGAGAAGGCCGGGCTTGTAGTCTCCACTCTAATTCATGCCAAAGGTGTTCTGTCGGGTTGAGGTCAGGACTCTGTGCAGGCCAGTCAAGTTCCTTCATCCCAAATTCACTCATCCATGTCTTTATGGACCTTGCTTTGTGCAACGATGCGCAGTACAGTTGGAACAGGAAGGGGCCATCCCCAAACTGTTCCCACAAAGTTTGGAGCATGAAATTGACCAAAATGTCTTGGTATGCTGATGCCTTAAGAGTTCCCTTCACTGGAACTAAAGGGCCAAGCCCACACCATAATCCCCCCTCCACCAAACTTTACTCTTGGCACAATGACACTTTGCATTGTACTTGGTGATGTAAGGCTTGGATGCAGCTGCTCGGCCATGGAAACCCATTCAATGAAGCTCTCTAAGCACTGTTGTTGTGCCAATCTGAAGGCCACATGAAGTTTAGAGGCCTGTAACCATTGACTCTGCAGACAGTTGACAACTTCTGCGCACTGCGCTCTTCAGCATGCGCTGACCCCGCTCTGTCATTTTACGTGGCCTACCACTTCGTGGCCGAATTGATGTTGTTCCCAGTTGCTCCCATATAATACCACTAACAGTTGACTGGAATAATTAGTAGCAATACATTTCACGGAACACCTGAATCCAATGATTTGGAGGGGTGTCCCAATACTTTTGGCAATATAGTGTATTTCCCAGGGTGCTGCACAAGCTATGTTGGGTTCTCTGACTCCATGGGGTTGATTTACTAACCTTATAAACACACCACGAACATGTATACACCTCTGTAGTGTGTTCCCTCCCAGCATGATCTATGGGTGGAATCTAAACACCTTTGTAGTGTGTACACACCCAGCAGGTGTGTTGTGCAAAGCCCTGCCCTGAATTACAAGGTGATGTTGTGTAAATTAGCTCTACATTGTGTTGCTTGCGTTGATGAATGCAGGAATGTAAATGCATGAGCTAACCATTTTTGTCTAAACTGTGAAGCAGCATTATATATGCATCATGTGCATGATTTTTCCATATATGGCATTAGTGGAAACATGCTTATAGAGACTTTTTGGTTGATAAATACGCTTTGCTGTGTAAAAATCACACGCACCTGGTGTGTGCGTGTGCTTAGGTTAGTAAATCACCCCCCATGTATCAGCTGTACAGCTGATGGAACACTCTTTGCAGTTGTCATAGATTTCAGCTGAAAAGCTTGACAGACCTGTAGTTGTCTAGTGCAGATAACTTGTCAACTTTGTGATCTTGCTTTACAAGTCACCTTTAATGGTAATAATCAATTTCAATCTAAACTATAAAAAGTTAGTGAATGTTTTTTTAGGAAACCTTTAGTGAGGAAGTATGGGGTGAGGCATAGCTGACTTCTGAAAATGCTTGTTCTCCAAATGTCTTGCTGAGTGATCCGATGGCTTTAGAACTTTCATTGACTCTAGACCAGTGGTTCTCAACCTGTGTAATCTCAGGACCCACATTTGTCCTTGGCCGTTAAGTCGCGACCCAATGGAATGCACGGCATTGGGTACCGTGCGTTACGATGCGGGCGTGTGTCAAATGAATGGCAACGCAACACACCTCCCACACCAGAATGCACGGTAGGTGAAATTGCATGGTACCGTGTGTTAATCGCACGGTACTAGTGTGAATGGGCCCTCAAAAACACTGACATACCTGCACAACCACAGACACAATCTCACACACAGACAATGTAAAAATAAATAAATTAAGATCCACCCAGTCTCCATACCTTCCGAGAACTGGAGAGGATCCTCAGCCAAGAGTCCAGTGTGGGCTGCTGTGCTGTGACAGAGCTCCATCCATATGTGCATTGCTTGTACACCTCCCTTGTGCACCCTGTAGAGGTGCCGGGAGCCAGAATGTGATGTCACTCCAGTCAAGGCACCTCTAC